AATAACAAGTAAATACTTCTCCTTAGTTTATTCTTTGGAATGTTGCTGTTTTCTTTGAAAATAGAATGGCAGACCCCAGAGAGGAAAACAGTCTGAGGAAGGCCATCTGGAAGGGCAGGAAAGAAGATCTTGGGAGAAGCTGTCAGAAACTCTCTGGATATTAGCTCCCTGTCCGAAAGCCAATCTTCCCTCCCACACTGTTCACATTCAGCTGCATGTTTACCCTCCCCCATCCCATGCCCACCCCAGACCTCACAGAGGGGCCCAGGACCTAGGAGCCTCTTCAATGTGTGAAGAATTTAAATGTCTTGGCCAGGCCTGGGCAAAACCAGGACATCAGATTTGAGAACAGCCCTTCCTCTTGCCTGCCATGCTAAATCTCTACCCTGTCAGGAAATAAACCCCATATCATAATTCTTCTATAACTGATTTTCTTCGGAAGGGATTACATCCAACTTGGTAACCAAGCAGTTGATATTCAGGAAAGTTTTCCCTTCTAATGAATTTGTGCCAAAATTCAGAATATCACATTACAGCATTTGCAAAAGAATAGTGTAAAAAAAAAAGAGCAATGCAGAATACTGCTCCGTAATACTGCTCCCATTCATCAAGGAAATACACACAATGTGTCTTAATCCGACCACTTAAATACCTGTTACTAACTCCATCCATCTGCGAGTGTTCAGGTGGCAATATTAACAGATGTGTGGTTGGAATTTACCTGTTTTGGGGGTATTTTTAATGAGATAATTCTTTCTTTTTTTCTCTAGAATAAATTCCCATTCTTTAGTTAGCCTTGACAACATTATCCAGGGTAAGTCTTGGAATGTCATCAGAAATCACAAATGATTATTTTAGCTCTTTCAACTTTCTCCTCTTCAAAGCCATTAGACAAAGCAAATAATGAGTAAATATACAGGATGTCTTGAGATTTTTCTTTCTCCATGGTTTATTCAGAAGTAATAAAATATTAGCAGAGGTAGGCATGGCAGCTCATGCCAATAATCTCAGCATTTTGGGAGTCTGAGGTCGGAGGATCACTTGAGTCCAGCAGTTCAAGACCAGCCTGGGTAACATAGTGAGCTCCATCGCTACAAAAATAAAATAAATTAGCAGTGTGTGTTGGTGTGTGCCTCAAGTTCAAGGTACTCAGGAGGCTGAGGTAGGAGAATTGCTTGAGCTCAGTAGTGTGAGGCTGCTGCAGTGAGCTATGAATGTATTACTGCACTTCAGCCTGGGTGACAGAGCAAGACCCTACCTTCAAAAAAATAAACGCAGAAAATGGTAAAGTTAAAGAAAAAAATTTTCATAGCCAAATCCATGGTTGATATCCATAGACTGAAAACATAATTTTGGAGGAAAAGAAGTGTCAGCTGAATCTTCTGTGTGTCAGTGCTCCCTCGATCTTCCCAGTGGAGGCAGTAACTATGAAGTACAAATGAAGCACCAGAAAGCTGCTATGTTCCAGAACCAAGTCTTCCCTTGACAGACTAAATTCTCTGCTTTGTCCCTGCTGCTTTGAGAGCTGGTTATGTATATAAGGCCATGTAATAATCTTGACATCTATAACTTCTATTTGAAGAACACAACTATGCATCTTTTCTGCATCCTGATAGAAGCAGACCTTTCCATAGACAAGAGTCTCTGAGCATAGTTTCAACTTTCATGCACTCCAGTCACCTGGGGGGGTTTGTTAAAAGGCAGATTTTGACTCTAAAAGTCGAGGATGAGACCTGAGGTTCTTCATGTCTAACAAATTCCCAGCTGATGCCAAAGCTGCTGACCAGGGTCTATACCTTGAGAAGTGAGGACTGTCAGAGAACAGTGAGCTGAAGTGCCAGGGGAGAGACTTAGGATAAGGGGCCAAAAGGACTGACTTCTGTCAAAAGTAAAACTTGGCTCCCCTAGGAAAATTCCTTCAGTGGATTGTGGAACCATTTGCAAAACAAGGGCTAGTGTACTTCTCTGGCTGCCTTTTTCATCAGCAGGCATGGGGTTCTCTACCCATACACAGCTCCACTGAAGTCCACCGCTGTTTTGTTTGGACAGGCTGGCTCAAATTTGAGCTTGCACACAAAAGGCTTATCACCAACACTGGCCTTTCTCTGACAGCTGTTTTTTTCCTTCTCAGTGCCACGGCTCTAGTCTCAGGACAGGAAAAAAAAGACTCGCTGGAGAAGAAGGGGTACTATCTGCAAGCTGTGGCAAATGCCTGTCTTCAAGACCTTAGAGAGAGAGAGTATCTGTCCTACACACATCTCCTTAATACGCACCCCAAAGATCAGCTTATCCACTCTATCCATGCACTAGAATAAGTATGAAATATGCAGTTTGATAAACCTATCAGTTTTGTCCATAAAAGCTGGCAAAGAAGCAGGGACTAAATTAATTCCTATAATAAAACAAGGAATTTCTATAAATTACTAAGGACTGAATGTCAAGTCCTACAGAAAAACCTGCTCGTGGGCATATGCGTCCGTGAGGAACAACACGTATCCCACCACCATGAGGTCAGGCATATGAAATCAGTGTGAGGTATATGAGTGCCACAGCTAGGAGAACTGATAAAAATCAGGGTCGTTGTCAGCTGTGGAAATTGAGAGGAAAAGGCGCCTTCAGTGACTTCCTTTGGGGAAGGCTTGTTTTGTGCTGGTGAACTGCTCCCCCTGGTGGATCAGGAATCGTTATGGTTGGGATTGAATTCTGCAGGGATAAGACTGGGCAGTTGCAGGTATCCAGCTATCCTCCTGGAAAAAAAGCTAATTTCTGAGCCCCCAGAAATACACTGAATACCTTCTTGGACACTGATTGAGTCTGCGCGTGGCCATCCTGTGAATTGCAAAGTTTGTTTTCCCACCTTATTGGTGTTGTTTTGTTTATTTTCAGTATTATGGTTGTTTCAACATTGTGGCTCTGTATTGATTTGAGAGATATGGAAAATTCTTAAGTCCTGTATTTTATTTTATTTCCACTTTAAAATTAAGTCTGGATATTTACAAGGGGAAAATGACCCACAGTGAGGAGAACATTTTCCTGTGGAATCATTTGTTTCCCTTATTGTCCGCTTTTAACTCCTCTCTCTGAGGTGGTTGTGTGGATTGTGATTAATTTATGCCTGTGCCCCTTGTCCTATTTCCCTCAAGACAAAAACAAGTTTTGTGATTTTTCTCAGGATGAAATTTCTCTTTTCATTATATATTTCAGAGCCAATAGAGATAGTTTGTGTTGTTTTCGTTAAATATTTTTTTTGTATGCCCTGCCATGCACACAGAAGAGATTTTGCAGGTCAGGCAGAGATGAGAACTATGACAACTCTCTTTTGAACATTCTGCAATGAGGATTGCAGCTTCAGTCCAAACAGTGTAAAAGCTAAATAAGGAAGTATTTTAAATATTTATTTAACAAGACATATTTTAAATAACCTACATATGTAAATAGAGCGTTCTTAGCCTGTACATTATTGCCAGGTCGATTCTCATGTTCTGATATATAATTAATTACCGGTTTATTCCTCTGTAAACCAAAGCAGGGAATAATTCAGCGATGTCAGGTCACTGATGTCAGCAAAATGTAATAGCCTTTGTTAGTGGGATCTGTGTAGGAGAAATTGAGACTGTAAAATCTGTGATGGTGGGTGCCAAAAAGGTGTCCAAAAAACAAGTTCCTATCTCCATTTTAGTTTCTTTCTCTTGATATGTAGACTTTTTCTCTATACTATTTAGTGGGATTAGAATGCACATTTTTTTGGTTGTTGTTGTTGTTGTTTTTATACTATGCATTTTGCAAATTTATTCTATTTGGGTAGGGGAGAATTTTTTTTTTTTGCATTTTAGGTTTTGGGGTACATGTGAAGAACATGCAAGATTGTTGCATAGGTACACACATGCACTTTTTTATGTTAATGCAAACTTCGAAAGCATATGCAGTCTGAACTATGCATTTTATAAGTCACCTAAAGTGTCATCTAAAGTATGTTCATATCATGACCATTTTCAGCAGCACTATTATATCTAAGAACAACACAAATATTAATCATTTTGGTAATTCTTGGTCATTGAAAAAAATGAATTTTTAAATGTTTACGTAAAATCCACGTGTCCATTTTTAATTTTATGAGAGAAAAATATAGCGCTATACACACACACACACACACACACACACACACACACACAAATTTGGTTTTCACTTAAATGAGCACCTGTCTTTCAAATTACTAAAATCTTCTAAAGGACGAAAATTCTGAACATCAAATTTGCCAAGGGTATAGATAGTTCCAGGAAAGAAAAAGCAGGCAAAAATGTGACACCTTTCTTCCTTAGACTTAATTCCTAATGATGTAAAATAAGTAATCATCTCAAATACCTTAGCACCTTGCTAGTGTGGGTCAGTGGAGCAACAAGCATGTTTCACTTAAACATTATACATGTGAGTTACCAAAAACCCAACTCAAAGTTCTGATTACAAGCTCTCTGAATTAGCTCTTAAACTAAATTCTAGCTAGTAGATTAATGATATAAATTTATCTTGGCTCATAGCCACAACATCTGGAAAATTTAGTGTGGAAAATTATTTAAAATAATTGGCTTATGCCATCATGACATACTAACCTATTGGTTATCTCACCTTTAAACCATCATCTACTTGTCTTGCCATCATCTACTTGTTTTGCTACACAAAAAAGAAGGTATTTTTGCTCTTCTGCATTGGGAAGAAACATTAAAACTTTGGGAAAATAAAAAATGACAACAATGAGAAAACATAATTTTATGATTTGAATGGTCATCAGAAGCACTCTTAGATGCTGGTTCCATCTTTTCATTGATGGTACCATTTGGTGCTTAAAAATAAGTGCCATTTCTGCAATTAACAGAATAGGGCTAGTGAGGTGTAAATTTGTCTCAGCAGCTTTTGAACTCAGTGCTGTTGTGCAGTTGCATGAAGAAGGAAATTAAATGTGAAAAATGGCTGATCTGTCTATATCCTCCTTGTTCCCTCTCCAGTGCAGCCTCATGAAGTATCCACTGGAATAACGACCACATACAGAAGGGCCCAGGGAATTGCTTCTTTGGGGATTACAGGTATATTTTTAGATTTGGCATAACCTATATATTAGCTTTTAAAAAGAAAATGTTAATTAAGTTCAAGCCTCCATATCAACATGGAAAAAGAATTTGTCCCTTAAGAGAAATGGTAGCAATAAGATATTCAGATTATCTTCTCATTAAATATCATTATGATTGATACTTCTGTTTTTACAAATGTTCTTTTAAAAAATTTTACTGAGGATGAAGTACATATAATTTTATCTATTGTTTCTTCTGTGTAAAGAGAAGACTCTGGGAATTTATAGAAACAAACATCAGAAGACTGAAATGTGGAGAGAAGAAGGCTGCCTGACTACGGAATCTCAGGATACAACGAAAACATCAAGGTGAGTTCCCTGACTTTTACCTTTCCCTAGTGTATCTCAGATCTGGAACTCAAGGAACCAAGAACCCCAAAACAGTAATAGGCACAGACAAGAAAGGCCCCAATGAAATGTCATTTGGCTACTCTCTCTCTAGCCAAATGACAAGGAAAGGGGAAACCAAGCAATACAGAAAAACATTTAGATAATAGCTGCTCAATTCTAGCCAAATTCCACAAAAACTACTTAGGTGGTGTCAGAGGAGGCTGGGTAGGTAGGAGGGACTTTTGGAAGCCATATGGAGAGCAGTAACAAGGCACTTCTATCTCTCACATATAGGGAAGTATATGGACCCTCAACCAACTGACTTGTTTGAAGTGCACAAGTCCACCTATATGCAGATTTTGTTAAATAAAAATGTAACAACCTCCTAGCATGTTCAGATACTCTTCTAGGTGCTTGGAAGACAATAGTAAAGAAAAACAGGCAAAGCCCCTGCTGTGCTTAACGATGCAGACAATGGAAGAGGCATTAGTTTAGGGACCCACACAAATAGGTAAAATTGCCTATATGCTAATGGTCATAAAGGAGTGGCATGTAGGCATGTGAGAACATAGAATAGACACATCTGCCTGGCTAAGGGCTGTCAGAAAACACTTTCTTCAGAAATGAATGATTTATTTAAAACCTACACAATTAATTAGACAAAGAGTATTAATTAATTAATACTAATTAATTAGGCCAAAAGTTATCTAAGTACAAGAAACATACATGTGCAATTTATTTTATTGAGTTGAAAATTCATTTGCTTCATATGAATGTAAATCTGTTTACCACAAGCCCACTGTATCCATAAGTTCTGTATCCAAAACTAAGGGCAGATCCAAATACAATATTCATGGGATGCAAATCTCCATGTATACCAAGGGGTAACTGCTTTATTGGAGTCATACTGGGGAGCTGAAACTCCCGCTCCTGCTCAGCAGCAATTGGGAGTTCCCTTGCAGAGGTCAACGGAAGCTGAGTTAAAAAACCTGGACTTCTATGTCACCTGGCAGTAATGAAGTAACACTCTCTTTCCTCTGCAAGTGATGTGAGATGAACCTAGCTAAAACAAAGGTTTAAATAAGAGTCAGAGTCTTACAATATCCAAATGTCCATATTTCATCATACAAAAACAAGAAAGATCTAAAACTAAGTGAGAAAAGATAATAAATATATGCCAACATCAAGATGACACAGATGTTAGAATTATCTGACAAAGCTTTTAAAGCAGCCATCATAAAAATACTCCAATGAACAATTAAAACATTCTTGAAACTGGTGAAAATGTATTTGAAAAGCTTCAACAAAGAAATAGAAAGTCAGAACCAAAAATAGAAGATGTAAGAGAGAAATGGAAAAATTTGAACAGAAAAATACAATAACCAATATAAAAAACTCAATGCATGGGCAGAATGGAGGAGACAGAGGAAATATCAGTGACCTGGAAGAAACAATATAAATTCACCATCTATAAAAGAGAGAAAATAGAGTGAATAAAAGATGAAAGGAACTTCAAAGACCTTTGTGACTACAGCAAAAACAAACAAAAAACTCTAACCTTTGCATTTCCTGAGTCCTAGAAAAAAGAAGGCAGACCTGAAAAGCATTCTGACAAATAACAGTTGAAATTTGTTAAAATTTAGCAAAAGACATAAATACACAGATTTAAGAAGCTGAGTGAATCCCAAATAGGATAAACTCACAGAAATCCACAGCAAGACACTCACAGTCAAACTTTTGAGAGCCGAAGACAAAAAAGAAAAAAACTCAATCCAGATGTCCTGCCAAGGGGAAGAGGATTAAACAAACTGTGATACATGCATACTAATAGAAACAACTAACTATTGATACATGGAACTCACCTGGATGAATTTTTAAAGAATTATGGGGAGTTACAAAAATCAGTTTTAAAATGTTACATCATGTATTGTTTTATTTATATAACAAGATGATTGAAATGACAAGATCATAGAAATGGGGACTTATTAGGGGTTAAGGTGGGGGAAGGATAAGAGGGAAGAGGGAGTAGTCATAAAAGGGCAGTATGAAGGTTCCCTGTGCTGATGAAATACTCCTTATCTTGACAGTAGCAATGTCAATATCCTGTTTGTTACACTACAGTTTTGCAAGATGTTAGCACTGGAAGGAACTGGGTAAAAGATCACTCTGCATTATCTCTCACAACTGCAAATAAATCCACAACTATCCTAAAATAGAAAGTTCAATTTACAAATAAAGCTCTGCAAGTCTTATAACTCAGTGGCTACATAACTCAGGACTCACACATAAAGAATTTTGCCTGTACTTCAACCTCATGTAACCCTGGGCAAGTATTCAGCCAGTCTGAGCCTACTTTCTTGTCAGTTAAATGGGCATAATGAGAGCTACCTTACTTATTAATACTTCATCAACTGTAGTAAGGATGAAATAAAAATGAAATAATGATCAGGAAGGGCTTCTTTTTTATTGTTCTTATGAAATTTTATTAAAATGTCTACTAGAGTTCAAGGCTCCCAACACAACTAGGGAGACACTGATACAGGAACTGGTGGTTGGCAGGAAATACCTGGCTGCTCGTAGAACTTAGACTAAATGAGTGGTATGTATCCTAGCACTTTGGGAGGCTAAGGCGGGTGGATCACCTGAGGTCAGGAGCTTGAGATCAGCCTGGCCAACATGGTGAAACCCTGTCTCTACTAAAAACACAGAAGTTAGCTGGGCATGGTGGTGCTTACCTGTAATCCCAGCTACTCAGGAGGCTGAGGCACAAAAATCACTTGAACCTGGGAGATGGAGATTGTAGTGAGCTGAGATCGAGCTATTGCACTCCAGCCTGGGTGAGAAGAGCAAAACTCTGTCTCAGGAAAAAAAAAAAGAGTGGTAACTCTTTTAACTCTAAGACTAAATGAGTGTTAAAATATGTAGAGGTTTTACAGTCTGTCAACATAAATCAGAATTATTAGAAAAGGGAAATTAGCTAGGTGCAGTGGTGTGTGCCTGTAGTCCCAGCTGCTTGGGAGGCTGAGACAGGAGGCTTGTTTGAGCACAGGAGGTTGAAGTTGCTGTTAGCTATAATGGTGCCACTGCACTCTAGCCTGGGCAACAGAGCAAGATGCTGTCACTAGGAGAAAAAAAAAAAAAAAAAAAAAAAGAAGAAGGCTTTCTAAGGAAAACCTTCATAATTTGTAGACGTAAGAAGTACAAGTGCAGTTTTGTTATGTGAATATAATGGTGAGTATTGGTGAAATCTGGTATTTTAGTGTAACCATCACCCAAATTGTTTCCTTTATACAAGAAAGGGCTTCTTGTCTCTTCAAGTACCACAAGAGAAAGCATTCATCTTTGCTGGATGCTACTGTGTGCGAGGCTCTAAGCTAAGCTGAATGCATTTTTTTACTTTATAATCTATTTGTAGTATTTTATGTGAAATCTTTAAAAGCATGGCTCCATAGCTGAATGGCAGAGTATGTGATATTTAACAAAGCACCCTAAAGAGAAATTCCCATCTTTTATCATATCGTCCTCAGGCATTCAAGAGTTTCCAAGTTCAGAGGCTACAGTAAACTTAATTCCTGACCTCTTCAACACTCAGAAACTTCAGATATCCTCTCATTTTCCTTTTCTTAAACATGCTAAATCTAACCTTCCACCTTGGTTCCTCAGTATCCTTTCCCTTGCTTGCTGTGCGCAGCTTAAAGAGATGAGCTACACCAACAACTAGCTTCCCTACTGTGCAGTTTCTCCTTTGCACTACTTGCTTTCTAGAGGACAATCACTCTACAGGTCTTTTTCTCTTTACAGCACCTCCCTAATACTGTGCCTCTAGACTGGGAAAAGACAGAAGAGTTTGCAGCTAGATGTTGCTGTCTTCTTTTTAATACAACACGTCTCGTGTATTATCACAATTTACAACTGAGGAAATGTTAGTCATCTACTGAGAACATACAGCTATATTAGCTTGGGAGACTTAGAAAATGTTTAATTAACAAAGAGATGACTGTTCCACATTTTGCATGAATTTGTTTTCTGCTTTCCAGTTTTTGCTATGAGACTCTATTACAAAGAATCCATTTATTTGCTGATTCATTCACTTGTTGATTCATTCATTTATTAATTTCATCATGCATTCATCAATGACCTAACACCCACTAACCGCAAGGCTCTGTAGTAGGCCCCGGGGATATGAAGCTGAACAAAAGATAATCTGGAGAGATTCACATGAAACAATAAAATTAGAATGTGGTTCCTAGTGTATCAAAGCATGAAGGTATCACGACAACATAGAAAAAGAAGCACTTTGGCCGGGCACGGTGGCTCAAGTCTGTAATCCCAGCACTGTAGGAGGCCGAGGCGGGTGGACCACGAGGTCAAGAGATCGAGACCATCCTGGTCAACATGGTGAAACCCCGTCTCTACTAAAAATACAAAAAATTAGCTGGGCATGGTGGCGCATGCCTGTGA